CTCCATCCTTTTGTGTTTCTGGATTTTATATCACTTTGATCTATTATGAATATATGGTTTGTGCTGAAGAATTAATTTTCCAGATTCAGAAATAGTTTTTATTTCTATACTATCATTCTGCTATTTTGGTGATAGCGGTTTTGGTTGAAATAAATATTTTTTAAGCAATGAAAAAAATTTTTTAGATAAAAAAAAATAATTAATACTTCAAGAGGAGACTTTAAGCTTTAAAATGAACTCAAAATAATTGCTATATGACCATTTTTGACTGAATTATAAATTTTTGAAGTTAGAAACTGATTATCAATGCTAAAAGAAAGAGTGATGATGCATTCCTGATTACTAAAAATATAAAAATCGATAATTTAAAATTTTTTCACTTAGATGATAAATTAGTTTGGTAGTCAGAGAAGCTCTCTAGAGTATTTTAAAATTTTTTTCATTAAATTTTCAGTGAAAACAATTTTTTTGAAATTTAAATAGTGATGTGCTATTTCGATGCTATTATCAATCATTTCGATTCTAGTTTATTTATTTATTTTCATCGTGACAGTAAATATTTAAATATTTAAAATAAGTATTCCATCACCAAAATATTCCTTTTTAAATTTACTTTAGTATCAATCAAGATTTGTGCTCGAATAAAATAGGTCCTGGATGACCCTGGTATCATTATTTCTCCTGAGCCTGAGTTTATATTCTCATCAGCACTATATCAAGCAAGATGTCTCCAAAATTAAATGGACCATGTTCAGATCTCCAGAATAAGACCGAATTTAAGTTGCCACTGTAGTTGTTAAAAAATTCAAAGAACTTTGAAAATTCATTCCAAGTCACCAACTGATCTCAATAGTGTCCATTTTCTCCAATAATATCCCCAAAGTCTATAAATGTTGAAAAGTATCACGGAGATAAAGCAGAAGCAGAGAAGAAGAAAAAAGCTTTCGTAATAACTCGGTCTCGATACACCTGCGCTGCAGCATCGTATAACAGGTGGAAAGAGAAACGACAGAGAAGGACAGGAGAAGTTGTGTGAGGGAAGAGGTGGAGGACAAGGAGGGCACCCCCCACTATAGTCAGCTTCAGCGGCTAACTCGAGCTCGAACATTACTACTATACGCCCTCTCGGCGCTGCCAGTGAGAAGGAGAATGTCGAGACCGCCCTCTCCTTTCCACCCACTCTTATTCTCTCGGTAGTTTTTTTCTTTTATTTATTTATTTTCTTCCTCTTTCAAACTCCCCCGTACCTTTCATCTTCTCTCGTCCACCACACTCTCCCTTGCTCTTTATTTTCTTCTTCCGTCTTCTTCGGCGTCTACAGACCACTTCCGGTGGCGCTTCAGGTTCAGACTCCTTCAATTCACTGTCTTTCATTTTTTATTTTTTTCTTTTCTTTTTACTTTCATGCTTTCTTCTATATTTTTATCCTCCTCTGTTATTTTCTCGCCGTATTTCGCTCTGCTGATTTATCGCTGAGGAAAAGACACACAGGAAATTCACCTCCAACGGATTATGGTTTATTCTTGTGGTCCCGATGAAATGGCCGACGACATTAGAGAACATCATCTTTTTTCTTTTTTTTTATCTATTTATTTAAGTAAATAATATCTTATCTTAAAGCTGAAGAAAATTTATTTTCAAATAATTAAAAATTATTGAAAGTTATTAGAAAATAAAGTAAATTTTATTTAGCAACATTTTCTACAAATATTTGAGTTAGAATTACTCTAAAAAAATAATATTTTTAAATCAAGAATAATTTTAGTATTAATTATAATTACACTGATTTTTTATCACTGTAATATACACTCCATACTTTATTATTACTCTACAGAAATGAATCAGTAAATATTCACTGATTATCAGTGTCAATCAAATCACTGAATAAATCAGGAATTTAATTGATACTGAAAACATGATGATTTATTTTTAAAGAGTAAGAAAAAAATTATTCTTGACAGAAAAAAATATTTTTCCAGTAATACTATACCATTATGATACTTTCTTAAAATGAATCAGTGAAAATCACTTGATTTTTTCAAAAGTGAAAAAATTTTTTAAAACAAGATAATAAATAATTATAAGAAAAAAATATTAGAGTGATGTATCGATAAGAAAAATAGTGTATATTTGGGACAAAATATATGTCACATTATGCAGAGACAAACTGTCTCTGAAATAATAATCGTAGTTGATCGTATAATGCCGGTGAGATAACACATAACTTGACAACGACATAACGAACGTCTTTAACAGACCTACTGTGCGTTGGACTGATTACTAAATATATAACACGAAGATTTATTTCTCTGTCAATGTAATACTCTACTTTTATATACAAAATACATTTATCTGTCCTATGTGTCTGTCTATAATAGCTTCTCTGTAATACAACTATTATACCTTTCTCTTCAGAATATCTATTTTTTTGTCGACATTCGTTAATTGAGAAAAATTATCTTCTCATGCACTTGTTTCGTAATGAAATATCCTAGTGGCTACTACACTCATATGTGCGTGTTTTACTTGTTGTAATCTCGTACTAGCCAGGTACAATGCGGATCTATTATGTGATTTCTGTCTCTATTACTCGGGGAATTACAGTATTGATCAAAAATTTTTATCTACCAACTTTTACATTTATTGACTCTAATTTATTACACATTTCAATAAATCTCTTTGTAAATAATAAACTTACATTTATTTTACCATTATTTAATCTTCAATCAATCATTACATGTCATTTTAAAGCTAATTAAAATATTTTTGAATACTCAACAAACAATAATTTTTTAATTACTTGAAGATTTTCACTAAATAATATTTGAAGATGCTTAAAAAATTTTTTTATGATTAAAATAATTTTTTTTGTTGTCAAAATATTCTGAAAAAATTAGTTATTGTGAATTAGTGATTTTAAAGTATGCTAAAAAAACTTTTTTATTGTTAAAATAGTTTTAAAAATATTTTTATCAATCCAATGATATTTTTATGATACAGACACGAGTCTAAGAAATTGAAAAAAAAAATATTTTTAAAGCACTAATATTAATTAGTTTCGATGAGTAATATTAAGGAGTAATTTTTGAAGTAATATTTAATCATTTTTTCATTGGAAAAAATTATAAAAAAAAATTTTTTTTTAGACAAATAGAGAGAAAAATAATTTTGCCATAGACTGTAGGTATAGAGTTGGAGATAAAGATCCAGGTGCTTCGTGCTAAGCGAAAGTACACCTCTCAGAATCATACAGAACTGTAATAAATGTTTATTTAGTAAGACCAAGTCCTCCTAACACTAGTAGTTTTAAAGAACTGACGACAAGAAAATAATCATAATCAATCAGCAAAAAAAGAGAGAGAATCGACATTTCAACATCAATGCTTTTGTTATGAATTTTTGAATTTTTACAGCGATAAAAAAATGACGAGAGAGATAAGACATGTGAATGATTTGAATAAAAAAGAATGTAATAATATTGATAATCGTCAAGATGATAGAATGAGATGAGGAAAACGAGGAAATGAGAATTGTGATGAGTGGTTGCAACAAAGAAAGAGAGTTAAGGTCGTGCGTCCTGCAACCACAAAAATGCGTACGCGCGTGCAGATAATGTTGGGGCTTGAGAGAGTATGACCGTTATTACGTTGCCGATATGCCGCTAGAGTGCAAGAGAATACAATTCCGCGAATGTGTTTATGCAAACATCATGAAATGCATCTAAATATTATACAAATGCATGCCAACATGTCATTCTTTTTTGCTTCATTATTTTTTTTTTTTCTTTCAATCAACAATTAATACCAGTGACTTATTCAGTTCAACTTATTGTTATTTATTTATTAACTTGTCATTATGAAATTTTTGCCATACAATTAATTTTTAAAATTCATAATTTAGTCATTTCTCCACGTTTTTCACATTTTTTTTCATTCATTAGTTTATTTATTGAAAGCATTGCAGTTTATTATTATTATTAATAATAATAACAATAAAGTAATAAATAAATATTCTTCTAAAGGCAAGGATAGTTTATTTGACTTTGAATAAGATGCGAATGTCACTAAGACAAAAATTGGAGACCCTAGAAAAAGTAGAAGGCAGGACATCCTTAATGTATGTAACCACTACATTAAAATACATGTAGGCTCCAACTATTTATATTCTAGCATTATGAAATGTTTCAAGTCTACCGTAATCCCCGTAATATTTCGAGGTTTGTTGAACATGAGAGCTTATGCACTTTTCTACATTCGCCCTCTCATTTCTACGCTACAATTGTCCACTTGATATTCCACGACTCTCTGAAGCTGTGCAGTCTACCGATATCGTTGAATGTTCGTCCAAAAAAAAAACCTTATAAAAATTTGCCTTTTCATGTCGTTTTTTCGCCCAATTCAATTGACATCAGATAATATTTAAATTTCGATATTTTTGGAAACCCTGGTCACCATTAGTTTTCATCAACTGATCGTTCATTTTGTAAAATGAATTAATAATTTTTTTTCAATCCAACCAATTCATTATTTATTATTTTTTATATCGTTAAAATACTTTGCTGAATAGACTGAGCAATAATATTACATAATACAACAGAAAAAAAATTATTAAAATTGTTTTTTTTGCTTCATATAGTGATTAATTCAATTCCTATAAGCTAGGATGCTTCATTTGTTTCTTTAAAAATGATTTAAGACAAGAAATAAATTTTTTATCATAAAACCAATAATCTTATGTTAAAGATCATCTTCTTGGCGATCTCAAACGCTGGTTCTAAAAGCATTTTGGACCATTTTAAGCTGAGAAACATCAGCTCAAAGTTCCAACCATGATTTTCTCCTAACCTAATATTTAAATGATCATATTTATTAATAATATGATTAAAAATCTTTCGACAACTAGTGTTTGAGGTCCTCCTGAGTATAAATAACAGGATGCCATCATTGATTGATCTCTCAACCCACCGAGACTCCATGAAAAAAAATAAAAGAAAGACTCACCTTACTGGGGTCCTGTTGTTGCAGCAATTGTTCCCTCAGGAATTGTAGTTGAAGGATCATCTCAGATAGCTTGCGGTCCTTTTCGGCGAAGGTTTCCGCAATAAGGACCCGACGAAGGGCCGCAGCACCGTCCTGATGACCTTCCGTGGTTGGTATTCTTCCGTTATTGCCGCCAGGTGGCGAGGGAGCCAGACTATTAGAGACACTGCTGTTATTGCTGCTGGAAATTGGACAACATGAGACCATTAGAGTTGTTGGATGAATTCGTTTTCGGTGTTTTAGCCAATGGGATAAAGCTATCTGAGAGAACCCGTTGCGCTTGATAGTTAAGTGAATGGGGAAAAGTAGAGAGAGAGGTGAAGCGTCCGAAAAGGGCAAGAGAGGAAAGAGGGATGATGATGATGGTGGAAACGCGACCAGGCAAGTTGGTGAATAATAAATAGGGTCGCGGTCGCGCAATCTCAGCGGAGCGAGTGTGTTTGCACCGGTGATGGGTCCCGGGATACTCTCACACCCTCCTTTCACCCTCTCTCTTCATGCTTTAAAATACATTAGCTGTCTTGCTCTCATGCTTCTCAACCTATCCTACGTTATCTTCGTCTTCTCGTTCTTCTTTTATATACCTTTAAAAATACCAAGGCACGAATAAGTGATACGACCGCTATTGTACCCTCTGCTCAGAATGATGTGGATACCAAGTGACCTCGCTTCTTCTCCCTCTTTGATGCATATTCCAAATTGTCTTCATATTCTCCTCACTCATCATCATCAGCTTCTTTTATTATCTTTCACTGGGTAAAAGAAAACCACGAAATATTCTTCTTCGCGAATTTTTTTTTTTACTTTGAATTTGTTTTTATTAATAAATTTATTTTATAAAATGGCAGATTGATATTTTGACAACCTAATAAAATTAATTAATTAATAAAAAGGTGTTTTAGGATATTAATAAATCTAATTAATGATTAAAAAATTTCATTGCAATGTAAATAAATTTTTTTTTGAGAAAACAAAAAATTAAAAATCCTATAATAATAATATTCCAATTAAATATAATATTAAAAGAGAGTTTAATTAAAATAACCGTTAAATAACATAATTATTAAGCTCAATTGAATGCTCTATAGTGAAACAAGTCTTTTATATTTTAGAATAATGGTAAAATTAATATTTTACTGGCGATTTAATAAAGAATATAACGTGTTATTCGTGTGTACGTTGATGAAAGCCCATAACTGTATGTATAACCATAAAGAGAGTGAAGCTTCTTTAGTCTCGATATAATATCAATGGTAGCGGAGGCGAGTTCTATTCGCGCCCAGTGACCCCGGTTGAGCCCTGTACCAACATACAAAAGCCTCATTCTGTCATTATTACTGCACGTTCAAGATCCAAGGGCTTATTTCTTACAACGCTAAGGCAATGTAGCAGCGAGGCCTCTCATCACTTTGTATCCGTCGAGCTTCTTCTTCTTTATTCGTCTTCATTTTTCATTTTATATAGTGCATATATACCTATATTATTCCCCCCTCCCTATACCTCCCTACTTGCCTTACACTTATATTCATTACATTTTTCCTTTATATTCTACACATGGAATATGCTTTTCTCTGAATCAATGCCAAAGTATGCTCGATAACGGACTACTGCAAGAGCTTCTAGGCTATTTTTTTTCATCAACTATCATTGCTCATATGTGCTCATTAGATTCAATGCATTTATCTTCTTTATTTTCCAGTGAGAAGTTATTGTAAAAGGATAGCTGAAATCATCTCGACCAAGTTTCGTAAGGACCATATCAATGATTGTCTAAAAATTAAGTCTCTGAGTTCACAAAGAAAAAAAAAATATTAACTAGAATGAAATTAAATCCAACTGCCCTTCTTTAATCATCAAATGATCAAGACCAAAAGGAGCCTCCACTTCTATTTTGAATCTTCAAAGTATCTAGTGATGAAGATAATGAATCTAATGAGTGCATTATGAGCACTAAAAGCATTATATATAAATATCGAAAATATGTCGCCACGGACAGGTAAGAATCGGTATTATTAGCTCATGTTCCCCACTTAACTCTTAACAGAGAGAATAAACGCGACGGTGAAATAAATTGAACAATTTCCAGAATTTGTATCCCAAAACAGTGCTTTTATCTTGGCTGAAATGTATGAAAAATTGTTGGCTCTGTTGCAGACTCTGGCACACACGCTTCTAATAAATCGTTACATACAAAGTATCTTAGTGACAATATCATCATTATTAACCTAACGCACGCAATTATCAACTGTAGATAAAACTGACCTATGGGTATTGTGACTGGTGGGGGTGGTGGAGGATGGTGGTGTCCTTCTGCCAGTGTTGTTATCGTCCTGTAGAGACAATGATCCGCTATTTATTTTACATGTAAGCCTTTTGAGAACGTCGTCCATTGATCTTTTTCCGGTGACGCCGGTGGTGTTGCCGTTGGTGGCGCTGGTGTTGCTAGTGTTGTTGTTGTTGTGCGTGACACTGTTATTGTTGTTGTTATTATTATGCAGCAGATGATGATGCTGATGATGATGATGATGGGGGTAAAATTGGTCGTTAAGTAGAGTTGGTGGAGAACCGCACTCGGATGAGCTAGCAGGTTCCAAGCTTGAACTTGACAGGGCAGTGTTTGTATGATGATGATGGCTAGGGTGTTGGTAATGATGGTGTTGGTATGGTTGATTAGTGCCGTCCTGATGACTGCTAAGGTACAGAAGCCTTTGTCTTTTGGCAGCAGGTGGTGAGTTTGGTGATGGTGATGGTGAGTCTTGGAATTCAGGTTCACTAGTTGTTCCAGTTGGTGATGAACAACCTGATGACTCACACTCCCTTTGATGATGATGAGGATAACCACAGTCTTCTTGTAAATGATCTGAATCTTCACCAGTTTCAGCTTTGTTCATTAATCCGACCACTTCGTTAGCTTCTTCACCACCACCACCTCCACCTCCTTCAGCCCCACCAACTCCAGATGCTGCCACTTCACCTAAACCCGTCTTTGACGTTGTTTCTTCCTCCTGTTCCTCACCACCCGCCACTGTTCCCGCACCGCCCCCGCCCTCCGATAGCTTCGTTGGTGGCGACTTCCTCTTAGAGGACATCCTTAGTCTGCAACACAAGCGCAACCACACACAGCTCAATTTAGTGTTTTTTTTTCTGTTTGGGGGCTTTTCTAACTAATTCGATTAAATATTTTTGTTCAATATACAGTGTAATTTCCGTCGCTTTGGGAAAAATATTATTTACTCATTGTTTTTATCACTTAGGATTTTTGCTAAAATTTCCTAACAACTTTTAAACCATAAAATCCAAATAAAAAAATATTTAAATAATTATTAGTGATAAATAATGTCTAGAGTCGAAGAAATGATGTATTGAATAATGTTGATGATTTTTAGGATGTTAAAAAATTTTTTTAAACAAAAAAAAAATAAGTTTGGCATAGAGTATATTTAGTAGAGTGTTGATAATAATCGTTGAACTTGCAAAATGTCCATATAGAAGATGAATAAAAAAAAAATGTGAGAGAATCAATAAATCAATAGCTGGTCGAGGCAATCTTCCGTAGGAAATTGGGTTGCTTGTTACACCTTATTGCTGAGGAGTCTGATGATGGTCACTCCTTTAAGTATCTCACCAACACTCCTACTTTCACACAGACTCGATCAAGGTCCAAAGTATCTCAGGCACACGATTAATTAAGTCCAAGAGCCTTAAAACCTATTATCAAATCCTTCAATTTCCGTATCGAAATAGTCCGAATATATATTTCGTGCAATTAACAGTTTAATTATTTCTACTACGAATGTCTAGGATTTATTCACTATATCATTACACTAGAGTCTTTGTTTTTTAACCCTACTGATTTTCAATCGATTTCATTTAATAATATTACAATAATTATTATTCTTCAATAAATTATTATCATTACAATTTTCATTTATTATTATTACTTTTAAAATATTTTTAGCTAAAAAAATATTTTCTAGTAATAATAACAAAAATTTAGGGATTTTTTTTCTATTTTTCAACAATTATTATCATTGTTACTATTAATTATTATAAAGTTAGAATTTTTTTTTGTTAAAAATACCTAAACTCTACTGTAATAACAACAAACATCTAGGGATATTTTTTTTTTTTTTTTCAAAAAAATTCTCCTATTTTTCTCAGATCATATCATCTTCTATATAAAATTTCTTAATCTCTAATCGCAAGCAAAAAAAAAGAATAAAATAAATAAACTCATGAAAAAAAAAAAAACCAACATTTTTTCGACCCTGCAAGAAAAGTAGATTCCCCCGATCAGAATTAAATGTATTTATCACTCATTAATATTATTGTAGTAATATTATTACAAGTGAGTTACATAAGAAAAGGCGCAGTAACCCGAGTTATCTTGTCCGACGAACGATTGATTGTCATTTCGCAATGGAGATGGAAGAAATGATGTGTAAGTCAACGAAAAGAGTGAGAGAGTAAAAGGTTGACTTGTCATTTAATTCCGTTAAGAGTTGTCTCTCGCGTATATACACGTATATATCATCTTTACTCCATTATTATCTGCTTATCGCAATGCACAGGTCATCAGGTCAAATCAAAACGAGAAATAAGAAGATTTATCAATGTAAATAAATAGTCAAAATTACAATACTTCCAGTCGAATATTATTTCGATATATACCTTTATTGGATTAACTTGACAAAACTATTTTTAATCGCTCCTATTGTGTTTACGTTTATTCCTTTGTCTCATTCTACGTCTTAAATACATTCTTAACACTCTCCTAATACCATACACTAACTAAAAATAAATTTAAGAATGCTTTTGCTAATTTATCAAAGCCATTCAAAAATTTATCCTGATAATTTTAATATAACAATTGATTTATTTTTATCCAGGTCGACTGCAGTGACTTCTGCGGAGTGAGAAATGATGAGAAACCTGTTTGATTGCAGTCTACAAGGTGTCTGAAGGTAGGAACATTGATAAAAAAATATTCAAGTCCTTTGGAAAAATTTTTAAATAATTTTTTTTGGACCAGTTAGTCCCAGAAAGTGAATTTAATTTTATGTCTATTGTTTAAATATTTAAATATTTATTAATCGCTGAAAAAATGGTCGAAAGACTTCACATGAGAGTGTTTGAAATCGGTCAGAGTGTAATCTATCATAATAAAATATCAAACCTTGCAAAAAGAAATCCCTGGTATCCACCAAAAAAACGGGCCCAAAGATATCCATGACTGATTTTATCATGCAAACACAAAAAGAAAGCTTTAAAAAAAAATTTTTTTCACTTATAAATTGAACCGGTAATTATTTTTAGTGGTAGCAGTTAATATTTTATAACACCTAGTTACACATTGAATGATATTATAAGGCCCAATTCGATAAAATTAATCATTAATCTTGACACAACTGCTAATTGGTCAATATCTCATCCACTACATTGTATATTCATTAAGTAACACGAGGGGGATGGTAATCACATAAATGTTTAAAAATATTATAACACACAAAGCTTGAACACACTTTCATCAACAATTCATCGCACCGATGAATTAACTAACGAGATGTCTTTTCATTTTACGATTTTATGACAATTATTTTCATGAACGAGTAACACTTTGTCAAGCGAATAATAGACTTGCAGAGCGTGTCAATGGTCTCTCATCTAGACCGAGACTGTCAAAAGGAAAAGTAGAAAAGGAGCGTTTAAGTATCAGAGTGAGAAAGAGTGAATATTTGACTCTAAGAGAGGGCAGCGGGGGAGGGAGGTGGTGAGACAAAAACGGCTACAGAGAATGAAATATTTTTAACAGACTTCCAGATGCCAGTTGGGGAGTAGACCTCGTAACCCAAGTCATTTAGAGGAAAGACAAACATAGAGCAAACAAAGAGGAAGTCAGTACTGTCCATATTTCCCTTTGATTTCAATCAAAATTGACTGGAATTTTTTTTTCGAAATAATCCTTGACTTTTTTGCTCAAATGTATTTCGGAAAACCCTGAAGAATTCAGAGAGCCATCATTTGGCAACTTATTAAGCTAGAAGGCTTTTATTGTAGTGTTTAGAATCGCTCAGAATCTGATCTTTAAGATGGTAATACTGGTTATTTGATAAAAAATTTTTTTCATCAAGTTTTAGAGCTTTAAATGGTGGAATCAAATTTTTTGAATTTATCAATATCAGCTATTCTTGTTTGGAACCTATTTAGGCCATTAAAAATTTTTTTTCGTTCAAACTGATGATACCATCGTTTAAATCAGATTCCGGACGATTCCAAACCGTCCTTCCGGACCTCTTTACGACAATTTGTCACAGAGTTATAGATTTTTAAAAATATCTAGATACCATGGAAAAAAATTAGAACGAAAGATTAATAAAATGCATTCTTAGGTGATAAATAATTTTTTTTTAAGTCGATGGTAAAAAAAAAAATATTCGAAGATTAACCACGCGTTAGTCAGCTTCAACATTGTCGTATTGTCAGTTGCAACGGCATCCATATAACCGTTGAAAAGTCACGATAAAAGTCTCTCAACGAGTGTGACGCCGACTAATCTCCATTCATTCGCCGGCTATTCATTGACGAGACCGAACAACGGAGTGTTGTTGAGAAAACGAACGATATCTCTACTGGTTGGTCTCTCTTTCTCACATCGTAATGCTCTCATTCTCATCCAAAGATAGTCTTCCTCACCGAAACATGCAAAAAATCCCTACCGGATTCTTTTACTGATTTATTTCCTAATAAAAAACAAAACCACTTCTAATAATCAATTCTCCGTTCTTTTAATAATAAAACACAATTTTTTAAGTCTAAAAAAAATCTTTATAACCATTTTATTGAACAATAGATTGATTTTTAATAAATAGTATTATTAAAGAGGTCTCAAAAAGGGCTTAAATAATTTTTTAGGCTTTAAGGAGGGTCAAAAGTATGCATTTTAATTTTTTTTTGGTAATTAATATACTATTGACCTAATTAATAAACTTACTAATATTGATAACAATGAATTATAGTAATAGAAACCAATTGAGTGCCACTGAGAGCAGCACATATTTGAATTTTTGCCATCAAATTTTTCGAGAGAAATACGTCTGTAGCTTATCGAAAAAGGTCGAACATCCTCTGTTACACATTCACTTGTGATAAATTTAGTATCACTAGCCATTAATATCCATTGAAAGAAAATAAAAAAAAAGAAATAATACGAAAAGAATGATTATAACTAAATTTATAAAGCTATTATTATTTCATTTCAGTGAATGTGATACTTGAAAAGAATAGTCTAAATCTAAATCGTCAACAACACAAGTGTTATGATTATCATGATTATTATTATCGCTGTTATCGTTGCTTTGTCCTGTGTGGATTATTCTTATTGCGACTATACATGTGCCTTTCGTCTAAATGTGACGTCATTGTGTGAAACAATAACACCATTATTCTCAACGAATAAACAAAAAATTCTCTTCAAACACACGTGATTCAGTTTCGAGAAAATAAATCGTTATAGAAATTCTATCAAGATGTTTAAGTATTTCAAATATTTTTAACACAATTATTATTTTAATTTAATATCATTTACAATTATTTAATAATAAAATTTATTCTTAAAGATAAATAAAAAAATCATTTTATCGAGTATATATTTAAACATTTATAACCGTCAAAGTTTTAGAGCAAAAAGGGTTGTGTTGGAGTGTTTGAAATCGCCCAGAGTATGATCTTGATAATGGTACTCTTAAAAATCAATAAAAAAAACTTTTTCAATTATTTTCATCACTTTAAAACTAGATGATAATTTTTTTAGATTAGTGATTGTTTTTTTTTTTTTTTAGGTTGTTTATTAAAAAAAAAAATGTTATAAATAAATTGATGAGCTGAGATGAATGATAGTGAAGTGGAGAATTATTTGAAATGTATTATTAAAAGAATGTTCTCAAAGTAATTTCCTGAATAAAGCTCAGTGACTGAAAGCTACACGATATAATTGAAATAGTTCTTTTGAATGATTGAAATATTTTTTTCTTTTATTTTACTGAGATCTCAAGTGACGGAAGTCGTGCCGGCGCTTGCTGATGTGTCGCCCCTTAGTC